AAGGAGGGAGTATGGCTTTATTACTGCAGGCTTACCTAGAAGCAATGGATAAGTGGAGCGGATGAATCGTACATTCCGCTATTGAAACTAGCTGCGCCGAGAAAAACTGATACAAGCATTTAAAGATAGCAATACAGCATTTGAATACGACTTGTTGCAGAAGTATCGGCATGTCTCTTTTCTAGTTGATGATGGAACTCATGTGAGGCTTAAAAATCTTCCTGAAGTTAGAAAAATTGTGGAGAAAAAAATTGCGATTATACAGCGAGGACGACAGGTGGCAAAAGAAAATATATTGAAAGTGCAGCAAGCTAACAAGAAGAGATTTGATGCCTAGAAAAAAGAAGCTAGGCAATACTATCGAAATCAATTGGTGTCCATCAAAAGGACTCAAAGGAAACCAGGACTTAAACTTGCTATAAAAAATTTTTGGGATCACATCAGATCAAGATTTATAGATTACCTAGATTTTAAGAAGAGATCGTTATGAAGTGTGTAAAATAAGTGAGCATGGAGGATCTCGGGTCGCTATTGTGTCGAGAAAATTTTTGAAGTCGTGAATGCAGACGGATAGTTGCGACAGCGGTAGAAAAAGAAAATGAAGACGAAGACGTTCGAGAACAAATATCCGAGCACTCTTACTTATGAAATGAGAAATAAAAATCTTTTTATTTCTCTACCCACACCCAGGCACACATGTTGACGCTTTGCATATTTTGCAGTCATTTTATAATCTTTCAAAGTAATCTTTCAAATATATAATAATCAAATATATAATATATATATATAATCCCACACATGATAATATTGTTGACATATGCGTCTCACTAAAAGAATACTAAACGTAAGTACGCATGAGCACCTGAAAGCTTCTTATTCGCTATTATATTGACCAAATTAAAATGGCACTGATCGATTGATGTCACGATTTTTTATACTTCACGATTTTTTATGCGTAGATATCCATTATATATAGTTCAGTGATAGAAGGTGAAGACGAGTGTAGTATCGTGGGAAAATTAGAACAGAGAGAGGAGAAACATATGGACAATGCGGATGCAGATAAAGAAAGAATATATAGAATAGAGAAACAACATATAAAGGATATAGAATAACAAAAGAAAAGAAGAGTAGAGATAAAAGGAGAAAAAATGACAGAAGAGTATAGAGAGAGGGAGGAAGAAGAGGAAAAAGGAATAGAGAGAAGAGAAAATACTGGGAACATAGATGAATTGTTTAAAAGGAAAAAAGAAAAGATGGAGATAAAGAAAGAGGAAAAAATGATTTTTGAAGCGTGAAAAAAATTACAGAGATCACTAAAATAAGAAAGAAGGAAGGAGAAGAGGAAAGGAGATAAGAAAAGAAAAAAAATAAGTGAAGAGTTGAAGGAGATTAAAATAATAATGAAGGAACAAGGGATGAAGATTAGAAATGAAATAGAGGAATTAAAGAAATATTTGAAACAGGGAGAAGATACATATAGAAATGAAAAAGAAAGAAAAGAGAATCGTGAATTTGGGGAAGATAAAAAAATATCAAGGCAAGATAAGGACATAAGAATAGAAGAAGAAAAGGACGAGATAATGGGGGAAAGAATAAGGAATTTAGAAAGAAAATTAGAAAAAAAAAGAAAAAATAGAAGAAAAAATAATAATAAGGGGATTAAAAGAGAGAAAATGAAATAAAGAAAGAAATAAAGAGATTTAGGGAATTAAATAAAGGAATTAGGAGTAGAGAGAGAGATAGAGGAATTTAAAGGTATAAGAGGAGAAGAAAAAGAAAATAAAATAGTAGTTAGATTGAAAAATATAGAACAAAAAAGGGAGACAATGATAAAAAAAAGGAATTTAAAAAAAAAGAAATTAAAATTGAAGACAATCTGTGAATGAAAGGAGGATGAAATGGAATTTAAAAGAGATAGCAAGACAGAAAAAGGAAAAGAAAAAGAGAATATGGGTAGGAAAGATTCAAATAGAGGGAAAATAGTGAGGATGGGGAAGAAAAATAGGAACTAAGGCAGAGGGGAGGAAATATGGAAGAAGATAGAGGGAAGATTAGGAAGAAAAGAAGATTAAAGAGGAGAGGAAGATTATCTTTATTTAATGGGGATAATATTAAGAGAAATGAAATAGGAGAGTTCACGTATACAGAAACAGAAAATCAGTGATAGATTAAATATTAGGAGAGCAGAAAGGGAAAGGTAAGGAAAAATTTAGTAAAAATGGAAATAGAAGACAGGATAGAATCGAATCATCAACCGGTGGTGGTGTGGTTAAGAGAGAAGGAAGAGGAAAGAAAAGAGTGGCAAACAGGAGGGAGAATTGGGATGAAGAGAGAAGAAGGAAATTTAAAGAAAGAATAGAAAGGCTGAAAGATAAGAAAGAATTAATTGAAGAGGAGATAGAAAATGGCAGAGAAAGTAAAAGAAGCTTTAAAGATAGGAAAAAAAAATTGAAAAAAAGAAGGCAGCATGGAAAAAGGATGATGGGACAAAGAGGATGAGAAAAGAAAGAGAAATGAGAGGAAAGTTGAGAAAATGAAGAAAAGGAAGAGGGGAAAGGGAAAGAAGTGTAAAAGGAAATAAGGAATATAAAGAAAACGTGCGAAAGAAAAAAGAAAAAGGAAAGGAAGAGAATAATGATAGAGATAGGAAAAAAAACGGAGAGAAAGGTACAAGAAATAATAAAAAGGAAAAGAAAGAAAAGGAAAAGGACAAATGAGATAAAAATAAAAGAGTGGAAAGAGTATTTTATGAAGTTACTGAATAATGTAGAAGAAAGAATATTGAGAAGGAGGAAAAGAAGAAAGAGGGAACAAGAGGAATCGGATTTAAAGATAGAAGAGAATAAAATGTTAAGGAATTTGAAGATAAATAAAGCAATAGGAATAAATGGAATATTAAATGAAAAAATATAGTGGAGAAGAAATGGAAAAATGAGTTTGGGAGATGTGTAATGGAATACGGAAAGGGGAAACAACGGGAAAAAGGTATAATAATTCCGCTAGTTAAAAAGAGAGAGGAAAAGAAAGTAGGAGACTATAGAGACTATAGAGAATAACATTAATGCTACCGCTATTCAAGGTATACGTATCAGTACTAGCAAAAAGATTGAGGGAGGAAATTAAGAATAAAGATCTAATACCAGGAAATCAGACGGGTTATAGAAAAGGAATAGGGACAATAGACAAATTTATGTTAAATTATTTAATAAATAGACAAATAAAACAAGCAAAAGGGTTGATATTATTATTTGTTGATTTAAAAGCGGCGTTTGATTGATAAATGGGCAGAAATATCGTAATAAAAGCGAAAGGGGTGTAAGAGAGGGGCTAGTGATTAGAATAGAGGAGGTGTTAAGGGAAACAAAGAACAGGGCGAGATAGAAAAATAGTGTAGTGGGGAATTTTGGTTGGCAAGGAGAGTGAGACAAGGTTGTCTGATCAAGCCCGACTCTGTTCAACATATGTTGATAGCAGATGTGGAGGATTATATTATATAAGAAAGGAAAAATGGAGAACAATAGAGGAGAAAATATACACATTATGTACGCAGATAACATGATAGCGGAAGATGAAGAAGAAAAGAAGGCAGAGTTGAGCAGACTGGAAAGATATGGAAAGAGATTAGAACTGAATGTAGAAAAAACGAAAATAATGAAAAGAAGATGAGAAAGAAGAAGATAAATTGATGGTGCAAAGGAAGGAAAATGGAGAAAGTAAAAGAAGTTAAATGTTTGGGATCTTAAAACAAAATGGAGGACAAGATAAAAGAAAGTAGAAGAAAGGCGGTGATAGAAATGAGAGAGGAATGAGGAATCGGAAAGAGAATTTGAGAAAAGGACTGGGAAAGGAGAATATGGTTATACGACACGCTAATTTGGATAATAATAGGATAGGGAGCAGAAATATGGAAGGAAAGGAAGGAAATTGAGAAGATACATGAAAGATTTCTGAGGTGGTTAAGAGTTGGAAAACGTCGGGATATATATGGTGAGGGAGGAAGTGGAAAGATGGATGATAAAAGGGAAAGGAAAAAGTAGGACAAGGGAAAAAAGTATGGAATTATGAAAAGAGATTACAAGAAAAAAACAGAGATATGTTATGAAAAATGTCTCTGAAGGAGATGAAGGAAAGATGGAAAAGAAGAAAGACAATAGATAGAAGAGAATAAGAAAGAAAAGAATTTTTCAGAGAAAAAGAAGTAAAAAAAGAGGAGAGATAGAGTATAAAATATTAGAAGAAAGGAATAGGCAATTACAAAAGGTAGACGGAATTAAGAGAATAGGAAAATCAAAGTTCAATAAGGTGGTATAAAACAATAACGAAAGAGGAAATACCAAAGTACCTGAAAAAAGAATAGGCGGAGAAAAATGGAAAAGAATATTAAGGTTCAGAATAGGTAATGAGATGAGGGAAGAAATATATTGAGAGAGAGAGGAGAAAAAAGAATGCAGGATATGCGGATTAAAGGAAGAAACACGTATAGAAAAGTTGAGTAAGATGGAGGTAATGAGAAAAATTGGCAAGAGGTGATGAATAGGATATTAGAAAAGGAGGGAAAAGGGAAAGAATAAGAGAAATGAAGAAGGAAAAGAAAAGAGGAAAAGAAGGAGTGAGAAGAGAGGGAGAAGGAGAAAGGAAGAAAGAGGGGAGTAATGAGATAAGTAAAAGAGAGAACAAGTGTGAAGAATGTATGAAAAAGATGAAAAAGGGTAATAAATGAGAGAAACGGAAGTCCTTTGCGTAAGTTGTAAGGTAACGGTTGTTAAGTTAATTTTAAGTTAATATTAAGTTAATCTAAGAAAAGTAGGAAAATAGAAATAAGAAGGCAGAGGCGATGGCAATTGCAAGCGAGGTGATGTGCGGTGCAAGCGTTATAATATGGTATAAGTTGAAATTGTATGCGAAGGAATCGGATGTTCTTTGTAACTCCATAGGGGATCAAATAAAGGTATCTATCTATAATAAACTTGATTTTAAATAAAATAATAAGTACTTACTTTCAATTTTTTCATTTTTTCGGCTAAGATGCAAATATCACGTGTTGCTCTAATATTAGTGAAGACCGCTTCTTTGAGTGCTTCATTAAATCTGACGTTAGCGGCAATGTGAAAAATTATGGATACTCTGTCAATTAAGATTTCACGATCTACGGCTAACAATCCTAAATTTTTAGCAGTTACATCTCCTGTTATAGGGATGATTTTATCAAAAATGGATGGTTTGTTTCGTAGTGTATCGAATAACTTGTTACTTAATATTTTTTTAAGCCTATCATCAATGTTCAATCCCTTTTTTGGTCTGATCAATATAAATATTTCTGTTATTTCGGGACAAGATCGCAGGAGTTTTTCAATAAGCACTTTTCCCAAAAAACCCGTGCCACCGGTTACAAAAATACTGTGGCCGGCATAAAAGGCCGGAATATTCATATTTGCTTCGTTATTTTTCATGTTAAACAAAACAGAAGTATAATCAGTAAAGTATATAAAAAATAATAAATAAACAAAAAAAAAAGAGAATATGTAATTTAAATGTAGATAAATTCAATAAAAATTCACTTTGTAATACGGTATGAAATCACAACACTTTGTCTTCAAGACACGGCAAATATTAATATAAATTCAATAAAAATTCACTTTGTAATACGGTATGAAATCACAACACTTTGTCTTCAAGACACGGCAAATATATAAATGAGTCTAATAAGAAATTGAATACAGGAAATGATACAGATATATCTAATGATATTCTTGAAAGTTCAAGGAGTTAAGTTCTCCATATTTATTTATGTATTGATCTACATATGTTGATTACATATATTGATGATTTTTTTTAATAAATGATTTATTTACAATCGTTTATTAAAAAAACCACAAAGTTTACAATATATATAGATCAATACACACACACACACACACACACACACACACACACACACACACACACACACACACACACACACACAGACACACACACATATATAATAGCAATACGTTCGATACTCTGTGCATACTTTGCATAAAGTTTTTTCTTTAAAGTCATGAGAAACATATGCTTAAAAAAATTTGTTTTGCATAAATATATATAAATTATACATTTAAACATACATAAACATATATAATTATGTATAAAGTGTATATACATTCTTCTTTCTTTTGTAAAATATAAATCGTTTAATATAAGAAAATAATAATGAGAAAAAAATAATTAAGAGAATAATTTTTATGTTGTCTCTTTTAGAAAAAATCATGTTTGGAAAAATATAAAAAAGTTACTTATACATAATTATAAATAAAGTATTATGTAATTATGTATGAGCAATTCTTCTATATTTTTCTAAACTTGTTTATCAATTTTATCAAACTTATCTACCTACAATATCGATTATTGTGTAGATGTCCGTGTAAATAGAGATAATATACTTTTGACAATGTTTGTTTATATATTTCGCGGAATTTCTGTAAGAAAAAAACATAGGTAACATAAGATATCTAAAAGACGTCTTTTAGATATCTTATGCAACTTGCATGCGTGTTATAGGAAATCTTTAGATATCACCTTAAGTCACGCGCTTTTAAATATCCAAAATATTTATAGATCGAGCCCCTTTTATCTTTAGATATCACCTTTTTAGTTTAAAGAAAAAAATAAAATTTGCAAAATCGAAGGAATAGGGAGAGTGATTCAAACAATAAATGCAATGCTAACTCAAGAACTGCCGTATAATAACCGTAGTATAGGATAGGCACGTTATCGTGAAACAAATATTTTTTGAAAACAAAAATTTGTAACCTTCTAAAAGTAGATTTGAGCAGTCAAATAGAATTACAATCAAGAATTGGACGTTTAAGTTTGCCCTTGAGGAACGAATTCTTTATGCATGATGAATTCATTTCATAAGAAAACGAATAAGAATCCGAATTTAAATTGCTAAGTAAATTGAGTAATGGACTTAGAAAATAATTGAACGGAAATGATGATGAATAAATTAAGTTATTTATTCAAAATAATGGTAGCATTGATTTTTTTGCAATTCACGTACGGGACTACATGTATATCTAATTAATAACGCAAGACAATCAATATTTTTTATATAAAAAGAATATATGCAAACATATATACGGAATACAAAATTGCACACGTATCAGGATACATCAATATGCCTAATATATACGTATATATATATATATATA